AAGAAAAGTTTAGGGTAATCCTGTTCACAGATCAGGAGGGCTTCACAAATGACCTCCTTGTTTTTTGGTCTGTCAATATCAACTGACCAGCTGTTGGAGAGAATCAGGACTCCTCGGCCGTCTTCTGGCATCAAGTTTTGAAGGTTTGGATACTTTTCCCATTGCTGTTTTTTAAGGTCATCGGGTATAATTGTTACTTTTCCTTCATAAACTGTAAAAACAACAACAGCAAATCCACAGTTTTTTTTAAATATAACCTCTTCACAATCAGTAAAAACAGTGATCAAATGTCTGTTGGACTCACCAGGGAACAATTTCTGCTGCAAGGAACTTAGGTGGTCATCTCTGATCCCATAGACTGGCTTGCATTTTGGAGGAGCAGCATTCTGATTGAGCACTTTCTCAAACCGAGCACACAAATCATCATCATCTACATTCAGGAGAACAGTTAGGGTCAGGGATAAGATTTGTGTTTATAGAATCATTTTCCTCATTGTAACCAAAGGAAAAACAAAGACCCTTACCTGAGCCATGAATCCGGATGTTTTTCAAAAACAGTGCAGCAAAACTTTGGAATGTGTATGGCCACAATATATAGAGGGTCACTGGCATTTCCCCCAAGAACGTCGAGGATGCGGACTTCCACAGACCAGTCATTCTCCTGAGTGCAGCCTGAGCAGTGAACCGAAATGACCCTGAGACACATGTCTTCGACTTCTGTCTTTATGAAATTCTTTTCAAGACCTTTGCCACATCCAACAACTTTTCTTGTTTTGTCATCAACACCAATGAAGAGGTAGCCCCCATCAGTGTTGGCAAAGGCACTTATGTACTTTGGAATGATTTCTTTAAGTCTTTTAGAAAGGTTTTTTTCATTACTAAAACTCTTCAGCTCCACATTCACACTCTCCCCAAATGGTAGCTCTTCTCCAAGCTGAACTTCCTGTCTTTCAAACAGCTGCTGACCATTAGGTCTATCTTCAGACGAAGAGCGGCGTCTCTTTGCCACAGGCTCATCACCTTGTCCTTTTGCCAAATTTTTCTTCTGATCGTTTAAAAAACCTACTACTCCATTATTTCCAACATTTAAAGCTGACGTTCCAGATCTTATTCGGAGGCCAGTGTCAATACTACAAAGACGTACCCGACCCCCAGTGGAGCTCCATGTTTTCACAAAAATGAAGAAGTTCATCCGTATTTGCAAAAACCCAAAGTAATCTTCTACAGCCGATGGATGAACCAGCTGTTGCAAAGCCTCTTCTAGGTCCAGGCCTAAATTGTCTTTTCTATACTTGTAGTTCTCATTATTGATCTCCGCATGGACTATACCCCCACCAGAGTTGAGCAGGGCAACTGCAGCCATTAAAATTCTCTGTTTCTGCTTCTGCTTTTCAGTCTTCTGTTGCATGATGCTTCTGGCATTCTCACCCAAGGTTACTTCTCCCACAAACAGAACCTGATCAGGGAGCTCACTGCATTCCAGTGAAAAAATCTCAGGTTTTGATAGAGCCATCAGCCTGAATATTCTGTGATAATAATGAAGAGATTTAAGTTAAGTGCAAAGCTGGCAGCATATGGACAGTGTGCTGTTTGCCCCGCCCCCTACCTGTTCAGTCATCTTAAATCACTCCCCTTATTTTATTTAAGCCTTTTGACTGTATATGGTTTCCTTCGATTATAATCATTTATAACATCACCAGCCATCAGAATTACGAAATCACAATTAATTATTCTACTTTATTTTAAATCATGGATAAGCAGTATGACAACTGGACTGCATGTAATATTTTGACGAATTATCCATAAGAGTTCCAACACATTTTTTTCGCGAAAATTATAGGCAAGTTTTCCGTAAGTCGACAAAATGATAATGCGAATATAGGGTGCTTCCATGGTCCGTGTACGAGTATAATTCATTTTTTAAGATGGAAAATACAACAATGAAAAAACAGGTCGTTTTCACCAATTTGACTAGACGAATCATAACGGGAAAATTGGGGAAATGGCTTGTTTAGCGTTTACAGGTGTCTGCCTGAGTAAGTCAGAAAACGCCTCGTATCCGTTTGACTGGAGGTGGGTTGGGTTACAGGTGCGCCATCTGTTATTGGTCAGGTATACCGCAAAGACCACGCCCCCGCAATATCGCTACAGAAAATGGATGTATGGAGGGATGGATGGATGGATGCAAAAGATGAATCCACACCAACAACATCAGAGACAAAAACAGCTGTGATAAGTCCCGGGCACTCCAATAACACTTTTCTGGGACTACAATTATCCTGGAAAATATACGACACCAACATCAATACTAAATGTTCCAACAAAGTGAAGTCAAGAGACATCTCCTTTGGTCGTGAAGCGAGGAAGTGGCTCATAAAACTGGTTGGAACAGGATGTCCGCCCTCCTCCAGCTGATAGCGCTCATATGTCTCACACCGCCTTGGTACATCCGCAAACAGACAGGAACTCAGAAAAAACGCCTTGGTTGCAACTCAGCACCCCC